AGCTGCACTATTCGTGAACATTTAATACGTGGAACCTTTGAATTCGAAACGAACCTCTCCTCCCAGGCCTTTTCAAATTTGACAATATTCGTATGAGGAGGAATCGCCTCATGGTTCGTCGCTTCACGAAGCTTCAGTTGGCGATTTCCAGCTGATTCGAAGGTGTGCAGAGCTCGCTTTACTGCGTAGCGATTCCCTGTCTCGCGGCATTCAACTTCCAAAGCCTGTAACATGAGGGTTATAAGACTACCAGCTCATTAGAATCAAACACTACAAAAATAAAGGAGCTCTGGGCTTGGAACGTTTAATTTTATCAGCCATCTATCAAACGGATCCTTTTATATGGAAGAGGCTCATGGAGAAGAAATCTATTACATATCGAACGTATTACGGGTGTTGTAAAACGATATCCCATTCAAAATTATGCTAGTTTTCTTATATTCACACTATTGCTGACGACAAGGTAGGGATTTTGTTGACAGAACGCAATAAAAGTGAAGTACCTCTCCAAACAGTCCTCTTCCTAGAACTCTCAGCTCTTTGAAACATTGCTCGAAGTAGCTTCTCTCCTTTTCATACACGTAAATCGAAGATGTTTTTTCAACTGAAAATTAGATCTCGTTACTGATACGAAAATTTCATAGAACTCTCAGCAACAAAACGATGGCTCAATGGCAAGTGGCAAGTGGGTCATCAAGATCCACAGATCGAATCCCACACAAGAACGGAACCCGCTAACCAAACGAGGCTGATTAATTGGCGTGGAATTTGTTAGCAAGTACATATAAACTAACGGAGGCATTAGCTAATCTCAAGAATAGGGTCAACTATATTCGAGGGGGAGAGGAAGGGGTCGTATTTGCGGTTTTGGAAAGGGGGGGGGGGTATATAGGGTTGGCCCAAGTCAACATTTTTGGAAAAGCGAGACCGTAGTTGTGGAGAGCTTCAGGACAGATGTATGAGATAGAAAATTTAGAGGATTTGTTAATTCTTCAATTGATTTTAGCAATTCATACAACACCCTTGCCCTCCTGCATCACTAACGACCATTTTGGAAAGAGTGGGATGAGATGGAGCGCGTCGACTGGCCTAGGAGTCAAACACTGCAAAAAATCCATGACGGTAATTGTGGGGAGGGGGCCGTCTGGGGGAAGGATCCCACCTAAGATTGATTGGGAGGGGGGGGGGAGGGGGCGTTAAGTTTCTGCTCGGCTCCGGTTTACTCTGTCTCACGGAGTCGTTGACTCAAACATCAGGCGGGAATCTTGTGAAGGAAACCTAAGCGTGGGCGACGTCCTACCAGTCGGCTGCCACTGCACCATGAGAATCACAGAACCCTGCGAATTGCATGCTGCTCTAGTGCCAACCAAGGCCATCCCACCATCCCAGGCCTCTCAGTCAACTGTTGCAGAATCCTCTGGCTGGTGCATCGTTCGCCGCAAATGTCACTGCTTATCATTAGGCCAAATCGAAGTCACACGATCCTGGGTCAATGTGGAACGCAGGCACTCCCCTGAGGGCCGACTGCAGAAGCCTATGTGCTTGCTCGCCTAATCGCCTACTCGCCTACTCGCCTACTCGCCTAATCGCCTACTCGCCTACTCGCCTAATCGCCTACTCGCCTACTCGCCTACTCGCCTAATCGCCTAATCGATACGTATTTTTCATTATCGCCTAATCGCCTACTCGCCTAATCGCCTAATCGATTCGTATACTTTTCAATTTTGAATCATCGCCTAATCGCCTAATCGCACGTACGATCGCCAACTATGAACGCTCCATACGCCAATTCGAAAGACAGTCAACTCGGCCTACGATAGTATTTTCGCGTCAAATCAATTAGCTAATAGGTAGAAAGTGCAATATATGGTGAAGGTAATTGTTATTATGTGCTCTCGATGCTTTTTGATGCTGCCTGATGCAATTCCTTGCCCAGCCTGACACGACATGCGGACGCGTGAAACGTCGGGTACGAAGCCCGTTACACCTTTTCTACATAATCAGATATTTTTGTTATTGGAATCCCGTCGATTCATTACTGTTTCAACAGAAATTCCACAGCCCACGGCGGAGTTAAAGGCACACTCCGCGATCGGTAAAGTGCGGTTGTTGCACACGAGAATGAAAGTGTAAATGACTGAAATCGTTGAAGGAAAACAAAGGAAACCAACGAAAACTGAGATTAAGGGCCTCTGAAGGCCAGGGACGACGAGGCATTTTTTGAAGGCACGAGTCAGGAGCGAATGGGCTATTCTTACGCTCGAAAGAGTGCAGAGATGCGAAATGGAATGCCAATAAGAAAAAACGAGAGAAAACCGTCGACAGAGCCCAAAATGAAACCCTCGACAGCAGCGAAGGAGACGGGCTTGAGGGGGGGGGACGTGTCTAAACAAATTTTCCGGACATGCTAGCCGTTGCTGAATCCGTGTCAGCAATCGATAGCACCGTATCTATGTGATTTTAGGTCGTATGCTAGCCACGCTCCACCTCCTAGATGGGCGGTCATAGCTTAGGCCAGGCGGGCCATAACCCTAAATACTATGTCGAGGGCTTATTCCGCGCGGCTCCAAGTCGCGAGCGTCGCATCAACTCATTGGTCACAGACCAGCCACAGCAATATGTAGATGGTTCGCTTGATCGCCTAATCCTGAACCGTGCTATTAATTATGAGGGGGTACATGTGAGTGGCGAGATCGGACGAGAAGACGCAGACACACCGTACATTGGGGGGGGGGGGCGTAGCCGTAGCCACAGCTAGCAACAAGGTGAACAAGGCCCTACAACGCTTCAGTGCTCTGTTTGGGCTCTTTTGAGCCGCGAAAATGGCAGTACCTCTTTGAACGCGGACCCTGCTACCCCTTTCACGAGAATGCTTTCAAATCTGCGATAGTGAAGCAAATTGGTTGAACATAGTTTGAGTAAAAACAAACTCACTATTTTCTGCAGGAATGCCGTTTCTGGAAACTTGCCGTGGTCTAAGGATGGGAAATCCACGAGGGTAAACCCAACTATGGGGTTTACATACTTTTAAGGAACGCGGTTGCGAGAGCAGGGCGTGCCAGGAACGCTGGAACAATAAAAACATTATGAATGGCAATGGCTAGCGATGCGAGTATTATCACAAAGGCACTGATTTTCGAGCCGGAATTGAATCTCTAGTCAAATGGATTACATCGGGCACAAGTACCATAGGATACCGGGTTTCGAGTCGCCACTGAGGTGTAATATTTGTCCGCAAGTTCAGCATCCTTGCAAACTGAGCCTAATGAACAGACCATGGGAAATACTGCTGAAAACCTTCATAACCTGGAATGATGACGTGAGAGATGATATTGAGGTGATTCAGGTGAACGATTTTGGGGAGAAGTTTTGGACTTTTTGACCTGTAAAGTTTGATGTGCCTTCGTGTCGTCGCGCAAGTGTTTCGGAAGCAGTTGCCATACTTGGGATGATAAAAAACTCGGAGACAGAGCGTTTAGCGTAAAGAATATCGTGTTATTTTTATCGTGCCGGCCTGGTAGCTTTTAGGTCATATGCGCGCTCCCTATAAGATAATAGTAATACATTAACCTCAAGAAATCAGGAGCGGTGGAAAGATGAAAGGGGTGGGGTGTTGGAGAAAAACTCCCAATTAAAGCTGCGTGTTCTTTAGGGATCAGTAAAGCCTGCCCTCCAGGCTGCTCGCGGGAGCGCTCGAAGCGTGTGTTAGCACAATCGTTGGCAACGAATCCAACACATGCCAGCATCTCCTTCCTAGCCCAGGGCCACCGTAGGCCTAATCATAGAGCTGACGGGCGAGAGACTTGGGGAGAGGGTGTCTTCAGGCGATTTTCATTATTTGCCGCGAAGCCACGTTCTTCTTCCTTTTCGCTCGTCTCACAGTAGCGATTCCCAGAGCACAATGGCCACCAGTTGCTCCACTGCTCAAAGGGGTTATTTTATAAACTGATCTCTGCGAGCATATATTATGGAGAAACTTATTATCAGACACATGAGCCACCGCTGAAAGTAGAAACACAAAAAATCAAGCGAAAGCCGAAATTCGAGCTGATTACGAGCCAACCCCCTCGCCGCAGGCGGGACGCAAGCTCGTGCTTCATGAAAGTTGCGCTATCACTGCGACATACAAGGCGCGCAATCACTTAGCCCCTTGAAACGATACATTGAGACATCGCTTAATGTGCTTGATGCAATCCTAGAGAAACTACCCGGTGAGGTCAGTTCGATTTTCGCTTTCGGCGCAGACTGTATGTCCGGAGCATTGTTGAGTTTTGATGACATTTTCACCACTATTTGGCCCGTCGAAAACTTTCATGGGACGTTTGACTTCTTGCGTTTGCCTTAGGCGCGACGTGGTAACACAAACAAACAAACAAAAACCCAGCATCTTTGTGATAACCTTCGCATGGGAACTGCGGCCAAAAACAAATTAAAGATTGTAACAGAGAAAATACCCATTTTTTGCTGACGAATTTACTTCCGTAGCTTCTGGAGACGAACAAAGATTCCGTTCTGGTGTCCTTTCCACATCTAGTGCGGATGGCGGCATTCTGATCTGAATAAACTCACAGTTGAAAATCGCTCAAATTTAAGACATTGCCACACTTCAAACGGTTTCATTAACACAGACAAATATTAATGTCGATTACGTGCGTACAATCAATACTCATTCCAAGCTGCACGTTATAATAAAGCGTGATCACCGAATGCTGGAGTGCGGACGCGTTTGATGACGTCATGAGGCAGCAGTGTATGGAGCGGGTGCTAGATGCGGGTAACTTTGAAGTGCCTGGAGGTCCAATGATGCCCTGACATCATCGAAGCTCCGTCTCCAACCATCGTGCTGAGTGCCTTTAAAATGCGGATGTCTACTAGAAAAAAGTTCGGACCAGTAGTAGGAGGGGAAGTTGTGCAAGCCAGCATATGATGTGAGCAACCATTCGAATTTGAGGTCAGATAAAATTCCGCATCAAGTGCGCCTCTCCTTTAGAAAGGATTAGGCGGCGCTGGATGATCTCAGATGGGCATACTTGTACGAACGGAGCCAGGATGGAGGCGTAGGAATTCCGGATAAAATGAAATTGCTTACACACCACCCCCTTAGTCCCCCATGCTTGATTTTGAAAAAAGACTAGGGGAGGAGGAGTGCTGAGTAAATGGACTCTCTGCATGATGGTGCCCCTCTCAAGCACATCAAAGCCGGATTAGGTATCAAATCGTCGGCACTAGGTGAATTTTTTGGTATGCGCCATGCATAACTTTATTTTCTTCACCTGAAAACTGACCCATACGACTCCACATTTCATGGTATGAGTAAGATGTGGGCTAAAATGCTTCTAATGTTCTGAAGGAGAATTGACAGCGCGGCGCATTTCCATAGAGACCGATCTATGCCAATCACTTTGCCCTCCCACATGCCCTTTCTAGACATTTTTCCTGCGTTGGCAAAAGCCAAAGAATAGAATCCCTTGTAATGAGGACAATCTCTTAAAAAAAAAAACTCAAAACTTAGTTTTAGTCCCAAAGTAGTAGGGAATATCATATAAAAATTGAAATATGATGTATTCGGCATTGGTCTATCCCTTTTTGAGATGCACTATGCACTCCAACTGCCATTCAATAATTGTAGTGGCAGCTTGAAGGCGATGACCAACCCATATGAGTTGAGTCAGCGTTGGTCATGCTAGAATTCAGCTTTGTCCAGATAGTTCTGGGACCGGATCTCCGATCGGTGAAGGGATTAGTGGCTGGCCTGGTTTCCGAGTTTACTTGCACTGGCCCGTGCGCATGATGACCGAAAACATGCCGCTGTTCCACCACCTCTCCAAATCCGGCCATATAGCTTCAAAATTCCATTTTAATAATTTGAAATCCACACAAACTATTTCTAGGCGCTGATGCCCTTTGGGGGGGGACATTAGAAGCAGGGCATTCAAAAACCGCTGGTAGGTGACACTAGGACTAAGCCCAGGACTGGGAATGAACACAAGGGAGAACAATGGTTGCTTATGAATCCCTTTCCCCTCCCTAAAGCTTAGTCCCAAGTTTTCAATGGCCCACTCACTCTAATGTCAACCCGACCCCCTAAGAACATGAGCGTCTATTTCTCTGTTCGCTTATCGTTTTTCAAAAACGAGAGAAAAGAATTCCCCGCATGAGGCTTGCAGGAATTGTCATGATGAGAAATCGAAATAATCGATTTTTGGAAAAAAGCACTGGAAGCGATACGCTAAGAAAAAAATGGATGCAAGCATCACAACAAAAGCCCGGGTATTTTTGAATGTGTCGAGTCGGGTGGGTCGAAAAGCCGAAGGCGACGACGCGATTACGACTGCCGATAAGAGTGGAACAGACATGTTCGGTCTGCTGCTTTGTCTGTGCACCCGTGCGGGGCCGAGAGACGGGGGAAGCTTGGAAGGGGGGCTATGGAAAAGAAGTAATCCTCTCAAAGAGATTTCGTTTAACTTCTAGTAAAAATGTAATCCCAGAGTAAACAATGGGAAAGGTGGTGAAGTACGAAAGAATAATACTGGCAACGGCAGAACTGTATTAAAAATACCGTCAACGGAAAAATTAGGAACGAAAAATACTGGAAAAAGTACGGGGATCCGACGAAAAACACCCGGCACAAGGAGGTCGTCAATCACCCCACAATGACACCTGTTATTGAGCGGCATTTGATCTACAAAATCTCACTGGGTGGTCCGCTTACTTTGAATACTTAGCCCGTTGCTATACCGTGAAATATTTAGAAACCACAATTCAACAACAAATCCTGATACCGTACCTTGAGTCGATCGCAACGACGCCAATAGCAATGGCGCGCACCTCGTCTTCCACCACCGCACGACAGCTTGACCGGAAATGAAATGGACCTTGCTTTCTGACTGGTTAGACCCATGTCTCAGTTGGTTCATACAGGGATGTGGACTGATTTTGGATGATATGGATAAGGCTTACTGGTAATGGAACGCTCTCATGGAAGATCAACGGTCGCCTTGGTCGCGTTCATATACTCCACGACTTCGAGGTAGGAGAATAGGCGATAGTGAAAAAATAGGAGCGCTATCGCAAGACAGTGGCACTCGAGTGCGATGCATTTTGAACTCCGCACAGCAACATCTCGTTTGACCCTATCAGGCAATATACGGGGCATCCTCCAGGATAAGGCTTAGGAAGGGGAGGGATGCGGAGCTCCGGAGAAAAAAATGAAAATGGCTTCGCGATTTAAGCCTTCTCCCCGCGTAAGGCTTTAGTGCCATTGTGCCAAATAAAGAGATGTTCCACGCGCGTTCTAATGCACTTTATATTATACATATTATATTATATTATTATACAGCCCCTTATATTATGATAGCGTTTTTTTTTCACACAAACGGGTCGAAGCTTTAGGCGAGTTAAATTGAATATAATTTCATATTATTTTTCTGAAAACCATTCATTTGTATTTTTAAGTAGATGTATCAACAAATAAGCAATAATATTTATTGCCTGGAAAATTGAGCAAAGACGTTTGCCATTACTTTTAAGCGGAATTCAATTCCAATTGGTCCTGAGACTCAACCTCAGCCAGGCTCGATTTTTTCTTGATCTTTAGGTTAATTTTACCAAGGCCTATATGGAGAAAACAGTGACATAAACCTCGACTAGTAGCCAGCGTTAAGGGAGACTTAGCACTCAAATACCATAGCGACTTTGAAAAGCAGACGAATTCGTGGCGCGCCTCGGAAAAGGGATTAATTCGCGACGCGCGATTTTTTTGCTTTATGTTATATGATGAGTTGAGTCCTTTAAGGCTTACTCCATAAATTTTTGAGCATTTTCAGTATAAAATAATTGCTTGGTCCGCTAGTTTTGCTGAAGTTCTTGAAGAAGGCCTAGTAGCGGATCCAGTGAGGATAAGCGCCTATGTGCGTCTGGTCGGGGTCGAGGATAACTTCCCTAGATGGCTTCTGCAGGTTTGTCCCCCATCCAGGAGTCAGACACCCCTATTTCCGTAAGGACACGAATCCTCGATAGAACTGAGGGTAATCCAGTGAGTCTCCCGTAAACTGCGCACCCACAAAACTTCTTTGAGAACTTGAAGACTTGAACAAATCATCACATGACCTGCATCTTACATGGAAAAGTAAGGGTATAGTCATTGACCCATGACCAATCTCTTTTTGGGACCGCCGCACGCGCCCGTTCTTCCATTCCGATCTGCAGAGCCAATTTGTATGTGACCATTGCTATACACTCTAGAGGAGAACGCGGGCGCAAAATTCAGTGTCTTTACTCCAGCAATCTGAACCAAGTTAACCTATCCCCGTCGATGAAAGTAGTTCGGCCTGTATCGACAATCCAATAACCCAACTTTGGCGAAAGTGGCGTCCTACCTTGCGCTAGCACTTCGCCTGCCTCATGTGAGAAAAATGAAAAGGAAATTAAGGAAATGGTAAAAAAAATTCAAGAGAAAACTCAAAGGCTCAAAAATCGAGCCTATTCCACAACCTCCTGCTGGGAGGTGATCGTATGGGAATGACCAGTGCGGTATGGGTGATGTGACTCGTGGCGGAGACGATGACTCAACACTCATTGATCAGACGCAATTTCTTCGCGCTCAGCTGACCCCGTGGCTCGTTTGAATTCGAACCCCGTCGGGTTGTTTCGAAATGCCCTTTCCTGTCTCGACAACACGCACACACACGGGTTGCCCGCACCCCGCCGATTGCGAGTGATCATCGACCTTGCTGTCTTTATGTTCGTTGTTGTGTTCCAATCGGGCCATGTCATTGATGGTCTTTGAATTTCCCAAAGGTTCATCAAAGATTCGTGCACATTTGAAGAAGAGGATTGCAGAGAGGAATTCACTGCAAGAATTTTGAGGATTCCAACATTTGGTTCAGCGCTCGTGGTCAGACTGATAATTCGCCTGACTACCGGAAACGAGCTTTTTGTTGGTGAAAATATTATGTTGTCGGCCTTGCCCATTTTTTCTTCATTTTGCAAAATCTTTTGAAATCGTTTTGAAACATTCACTATAAAACGAATATGAGCGGTGGTTAATGCTCTCTTTAGAGCATTTCTGCCGTAGCATTTCGCAGCGTTTGAAGCTGGAAAAATCGTCGGTACTCATGTCTTCGGGGGAGGGGGTGGGGCATTCAAGGATTCAGGATGTAGGCCAGCTGTCAATGGTGGGCGGGACATGACCAAAGTGGGCGGAGTTTGCGACGAAAATTCATAACTCGGCCCCAAGAAGTCCAGGAGGCTGGGAAAAAGGGAGTAGAGGTCGGCGAAGGAAAGGAGGTCAAATGCTATTAGTGGGTAGAGCACGCACCTAAGTGGGCGGAGTTCGCCACGAAGAGTCATAATGCGGTACAGAAAAGTCCAAAAACTTGGGAAAAAGTGGACAGAAGGTCCCAAATGGGGCCGAGGTCAACGTGTACTGGGGGCAGTATGCACGAAAGTTAGCGTGACGAACTTATGAATGGGTTCGAGAGAACTGGTCAAAGACCTGCCGGGAAAAGGGGATGAGTGTGACGGGGGTGGAGCTTAAATTCAATGTCGCAGTAAGCCCTGAGGTAGCACACAGGTCGAGAAAGAAAACGGGTAGATCTACCTTCGCAAAATGGAATATTTGGGCGTATTGGGTGAATTGAGATTTTTCGGACACCACTCCTTTCTACGCCAAACTGTTCTGGACAACAAGTGCGTCTTCAATGGTGCTGAATTAATGTCATCGAGGCGCTGAGTACGATTCGCCGTTTGTGCAGTTTGGAGAGTTGAATTGATTGTACTAGGAGCAAGGGAGCTAATCGATTAGACGAGATAAGCGAGTAGGCGTCAAGGCGCACGAGTACGTTAGGTGGCGCGAAAGTCTGTTACGCAGGCCTTTTCTTAATCACCTGCTGATAGTCGTTTACTCGCGTATCGATACGCATACTGTTTTTCCGAATCATCATCCTAGGTCGCCTAATCGCCTAATCGATGTACGTTCGATAAGTCTGAACGCTGCCTTATCAATGACAACTGAATTTCGAGCTCAACAACAAGTCGCTGCTAGAAGCACTCCGGTTCATTCCCTTCAAATACTCGTTCATCGGCGGTCTGTTGGATATATTCAGCAAGTGCGGTACTTTTTCTCCGGTCATTTCTCGTTCTCTCGTTTGAGTTGCACCATTTACGGTCGTTCTACAACGTGACTTGCAGTATGAAAGTTCATCTTGAAACGGAATTATCTTAAAGTTTTCTAATTTTCAGTGAGTGCAGCAAAAGCTGTGGAACAGAGCTCAGATTCAGGGCCGAGTGCAGCGATAGCGCCCAGCACGGATGGAGGAGCCACAAGTGAACAGCAGAAGATCAGTCTTCGAGAGCCACCATCGACGACAATGTATCCATCGGTGAGATTTTCACCATACTGAGGCTCCTCACGTGACTTTGAAGACGCGGCGCGGTAGCCTTGTTGGCTGCCAGCATCAGCTGAAAAATTGCGACGTCGCGTTATTGGATGGAGCGTTCATAGTTGGCGATCGTGCGTGCGATTAGGCGATTATTTAAAGGAAAGTGTACGCATCGGTTCGGCGGTTAGGCTAATAGGCGAATAGGTGGAGGGAAAAAGATACGTATCGATTTGTTCGCTTCTCCCATCTAGCGATCGCTCATCGCGACTCGCCTCATCGCCTACAACGGCTCTACGCTCCTTGGAGGGAGAACCAATCAATACGTATGTCAGCCCTCTCCGCCGATCTTCTTCGATCTGACGCCTAATCGCCTACTCGCCTACTTGTTCGCTATATTCGCACAGTGGGCGGAGCGACGCCGTTTAGCAATCAATAGACATTTTTTACACAGGCGATTATTCGTCGACTGTGCAGTCGGCAGAACGACATATCTTTTCCGGTCTCCGGACATCTGTCAACCGTGAGGCTAGGCAATTCAGCGTTTTGTTGTGCTGTCTGGGAGCTCTCACACAAGCGCACTATTACAGAATCTCCGCTTTCTTTACCTCCTTTAAAAGGCTTAGTCCCACTACCACAAAGAACGTCTGCTTTTCCTTCTACACTCTCACCCCCTGGTTGACAGAAGCCTTGTAACCATATCTTTTCAGCTGCCCAGCTCTGTCACGATGCCAGCCATTCCAGCGGATCAACATGGCGAACACTTATCCAGCTTATCAGACACTGAATGGGAAGGCGGAGAGCAAGCGTATCCATCGGATTTCTTGAACCTGTTGAGAGATGATGTTTGTTGAAAAACTTATTTTGATTTTCTTGAGGCTTTCTTTTACCGATTTCGTTTATTTTATGAGCGCTAACGTTTAGGATCGCATCCAAGTGTTTGCCGCTCCAGAAAAAGCTGCTGACTATCAGATGAAACTTGAGGAACGACGGAGACAAAAGCGACTACAAAAACTCAGTAGGAAAATGGAAGAAGCTATGGCAAAAGGACCCAGTCAGTTTCTCTCCCAAGTATACCAGTTTGGTTCAAATTTTGAAAAATCGGGCTACCTAGTCGTCTGAACTCGGAAAGACACATTCATCCATATAAAAACCAGGGTAAGAGCTAACCTAAGTCGTGGGGTCAAGTTTGAACTGCAAGCTCTACTTTTAGGGAAAAAATGAGGAAGAGAAGTCACATGGAACACCATCACAGAAGCTTTACTTTTCTTGGATGGTGGGAGGGTCTGAGAGGTGAAGAGCCCATGAGACATTGGGAGCGGAGGTGAGAGCACGACGGAGAGACGAGAGAGGGCAGCGAGGAGGGATACGGTAGAGATTGCAATTGTGGATGGGCCTAGTTACTTGTTCTATGGTTGCGAATTGTCCCCAGCGCCCTTTCATGCGTTTTGAACCACAAAAGCGACCCAATCTGGTCGGTTGTGGACCCAGAAGCCTACTTCCCGGAGGAACTGGTCCACTGACCTAGTCGCGCACTGTACCTTTAAGTCGATGGACGGGGAAAATAGTATCTTGGGCGCCGGCGTCGTCGGGTGGACATTATTATGCGAAGCCCATGCAGCCAACCCCCCTCCCTCCTCTAGTCCCTTCTTGGACTAATCCTTAGGGGGTTTAGGAGAGGGAGTGTACGAGCTATTTTCGCTTTCCCCGAAGTTTCCCCTCTTCTAGCCACCCGACGATACTTCAGTGAGCTCCAAAAGTGCAAGGAAATAGTCGATTCTGGATCGTTTCTATACTTTTATAAAATCAGGCCTTATTTATAAGAATGGAATTCTCATAAGATGTACTGGGAAATTTTGTTTAGCATATTCATTCAGGACCAATAGAGTCGTTCGCTGAATTGGTGGAAGAAATCACTAAGATGCTAAATGAAGACAAACAAATGAATAGCGGCGTAAAGGTCTGTAACGAAAATATTTCACTGCATTCAGAATTTAGGCATGTTTCAGACTAGAGCCAAACCTGATTGCGCGTGTGGTTTGCAACGGGTATTGATTTTACGCGCATGAGATCAATATCTGTTATCTTCCAATGAATGTACCGAGGGCCAAAGTATCCATGTTAGGCCAGTGTCAGACTTTGCGACGAACGATTCGCAAGCGTCCGCAGTCGCATCACTACCAGCGAATCGCTCAATTGGCTGGTACGGAACGCGACCGCCGTCGCTGGCGAATCGCTCAATTCGCAAAGTCTGACACCGATC